TTTGAACCTTAGTATGTATGTGTGTGTGTGTGTGTGTGTGTGTATATTTGTATATTTATTTGGTTGTCACACTTGTAGAATATGTTAATAGTTGATGTGATTAAATATACCTATGGACACTGACACCAGGGGCCTGTTTCATAAAACAAGTTTACCAAATAAGCCAGGCTTATTTCAGTTAGTCTGACTTATTTTGAACCAAATCAGCTGACAATAAGTCAGACTAACTGAAATAAACCTGGCTTATTTGGTTAACTTGTTTTATGAAACAGGCCCCAGCTGTTTAAAAATCTTTGCTTAAAAAGTCTAGCTCTAGCTTAATTTAGGCTATATGCCGATACCACTTGATTTGATACTTTAATGCTGTGACATTCAGACATTTTGAAGTGTGTCTGTAGTGTCCAAATACTTTTTAAGGACAACATCTGTACTTGCATTTCATGTCTCTATGATGTGTGCGATATGCATTTTTGTGCATGCACAGAACAAAGGCATGATATTTATCTCTTCTACCTTGACTGTTGTTTTTGCCTCTCTTTTCTATAGGTCTCTCATAACTCAAGATGTGTTTGGAGATGCTGATTTAAATCCCTTAAATTGTGGTTTCATTTGTTTTGACTACAGGTAGTTCAGAGCTCTAAAGTGTGGGATGAGGTGCCCTTTCCAGAGGACTTAGAAGAGGAAAACAAGCGGCCGGGAGGTTATGTGGATGATGAAGAGTACTATGATCCTTCAGGAGGTGGGACTAACTGAATACTGCACTGCTTAGTACTTCTAAATAAGGAATAGTAATGTTCATTATGTGGCTATTCATTATGCCTAATTGAAAGTGACAGTAAGGACCTTTATAATTTTGCAAAAAAATTTCCATTGTGAATAAATTCTGAATACATTTTTTTAAATTGTATTTTTTTAAATAAATGCAACCTTGGTGAGCATAGGAGACTAATTTTCTAATGTTACCATCCTCAAACTTTTTTTTCTTCAAAAAGCTAATTATAATCTCTTTTTTCCTTCAGATATCAGTGGAGAAGAGGATGGAAGCACCCCCGAGCCAAGCCCAGTTGAGCCAGGCATGCCTATAACAAGTGAGAATCCTTTTTTTTTTTTAATGAAGAGGCAATATTACAACATGACAGTAGTCACAAATTTCATATCAGTGTGATAAAAGAGTCATCAACAGATTCTGCAAACATCTTGCTTTAAAACATGAAACTGCTTTAATGATCTGCTGAGGTGTTATACAGAGTTGTTGCGTCTGCTGAATTTGTCTGTCACATCCTGTCACCCGCCTTTGAGACAGCAGCTTCATCATAACAAGGGCCTCAGATTTGTGCCAGAGATCCAAACAATACTCATTTCTCCTTTCATCAGCTGAGATGCAGAAGTGTAAACATTGCAGCAAACATGAAAGTCAGTGTAAGAAACAGCAGCCAGAACAGACGATACAAACACTGTCATGTATTGATTTCCTTACCTCCCATGTTTAAATTCTCGCCTTTCATGATCTTCTCTTCGAGTTTTATTTTATGGTAGCCTGTTGTACTTTTATCACATTTTACAGAAGTTTTGTGTAGTTATTTCATATAAAGTAGAGTTTAAAATTCCACATTGAAAATAATGTATTCAAAATCTAATGTAAATCTGAACTATTTTAGTTTTAGGATTCTTTAAATTAAAAAAAAAGAGAAAAATTACACTACCTTTCAAAAGTTTGGGGTCAGTCTAATTTTGTTCTTTTTCTTTTTTTTTTTTTTTAAAGAAATTAATGTTTGTATTCAGTTAGGATGCACTCAATTGATCAAAAGTGACAGTAAAGTCATTGTTACAAAAACAAATTCAAATAAATGCTGTTATTTTGATTCTTTCATCAAAAAATATTGGAAAAAATGAAGCATATAAATCCCCACAAAAATATTAAGAACAACAGTTTTCAGCACTGATAATAAGAAATATTCTTGAATAAATTAAATGTTAAACTATAATATAAATAAATGAGAAAATTTTAATAATACAAAAAATTGTAATAATATTTCACAATATTGCTGTGTTTTTGATCATATAATTCAGCCTTAGTGAATATAAGAGACTTTTGTTCAAAAACATAAACTCTTACCCACCCCAAACCTTTAAATGGTAGCATATGTTGTAAAAACAAAGAAATATTTATGACATTTTTAAGCCAAAATAGGGGGACTAATACAAAGAAATTATGATATTCATGTGCATTTTTAATAGCACTTTCAACTCAAATTGTTATGCTAATGAAATAATTTGTAATGGACAAAATCTGTTATTTATTATTATAAAATGAAACAACATGGTCACATAAAAATAATTAATTCTTTGTGTTGTGTGGCACCCAGCCTCATTTTGGAAACAGACCTTGCATTATTTAGATAACATATACCGAAAGTGTCTCAGCTGCAGTGTCAGACTCCTGCATTTTCCCTTCTGTCTTTTCTATCTTTGGACTTCTTCTTTGGAATGACTTTTTCTTCCCCGTCTGTCCTTTGTATGTCAGTCTGGGGCATTGTATTGCATGACATCATGGTGGAATGATTGTTTTGGTAAGAGCTCTGCAGCCCGACACCTGAGCTTTACTCCCAAAATAGTCCACACAAATATGCTGGTTCTTAAATTAGAAAGGGATATTTCAGCTGTAGCTTTAGTGTATTCAGAAGATAAAGTACCAGAGGGTGACAGTGTCAACCAAGAGGTGCCAGATTGATTGGGTCAACTCTTAAACATCACCTCTGTGAGACTCAGACCACCTACAGACTCTAAATTCTCAAAGCAAACACATAGTTTGCTAAATGTAGACCCAAATTCAGCAGATGAAACTCAAATCGTCCCTCTGAGCTTGAACTGGAGCGTAAAACTGATCTGATGACCCATTGATGATCTTTGAGGTTCAAGACACCACATGAGGTTGGTTTGAAGTCAAGATGTCTTCATTTATCCAAGCATATTTCTGATCTCAGTGGATTTGGTAGAATCGTGAATAACAAATCAACATCTTTTAACAAAAATATCTGCCACATAACATTTTAAGGCTGGAGAGGTTGAGACTATGAGTCAGCCAGTGGTAATCCCCCTTCTAAAGGGGGAAGTTTATTCTCTAAAGCCATTTATAGATCCGTGCCTGATAGCACTTGGGAAAGAACATTTGGCTTCCTGGAGTGGATGTCTAACCTGTGCTCTCTTTTTCCAGAGGTCTGTGTGACCACCTTTCCTTCCCTGTCACTGATGAGAGTTCATATCCTGCTACTGTAGCACATATTACACAGCATCCTGTTTTTCTGATGCATTTTCCAGATCCATATTTTTTACATATGGGGCATCTGTAATTGAAATTGCTACATACGTTAGCCTAAAGTGGTCTTTATTGTTAATTATGAGATTGAGAGAATGTAGTGGCATGAGCAAAGATATTATGATGATGGTTATTAAAGTTAAAATGTAATTGTGCTAGGCCCTGAATAGACCTTGAAATGGTTACCTTTCATTTAAAGTATCGTCTCAGTCTGAAAGATGTTTCTTAGAAATATTGAAAACGGAAACATAATTTGATAGTTGTTATGACTCAGATTTATGTCATTATTTCATATACAGTGGGGTTTAAAAGTCCACCTTGAAAACAATGGCTTCAAAATCTAATGTAAACCTGCTTTAAACTACTTTAGTTTTAGGATTCTTTCAAATTTAGAGCAAAGAGAAATTACACTACTTTTCAAATTTTGGGGTCAGTCTGTTTTTTTTTATTATTAAATATTTGTGTTCAGTTAGGATGCATTAACTTGTTCAAATATAATAGCTATCATCATGATTATTAGATTTAAAATGTAAGTGTGCTAGGACCTGAATAGACCTTGAAATCGCCATTTCAGTCTGAAAGATGTTACTTGGAGTTTGGAAATACTGATAACAGAAACATAATTTGATAGTTATTGTCACTTAGATTTACCACGTTCATGGCAGAGTTTTACTGTAAATAAGATTGGATTTTGTATATTATATAGTTTTATTATTTGATATATGTTCATTATAAAATGATATTGTATATTATTTAAATGAAAATAAACTAAATAAGTAAATAAATCTAATATAATTTTATAATGATTCTTAATGATTTGGTTATATTGAAATCTCTGACTTTTGTTGGCAGACTTTGTTGTTTTACCAAATTACCATTTTTGACTTTGTTTAGATCTTTTTTTGAAACTCTGGAACATGAGATTACTTGGGTCTTTTTCCTCATGAGAAACATCTAATTTTAATCTCATTTTAATCAAATTGTACTCTATGAGATATACAATAGAGATTTTCATTTTGGTTTTCCTTTCCTAAGGCTAATTCTGGGCTTTTTGTTGTAGTAAATTGGAGTGGTGGTACTTTAGCTTAGTAGTCAGAGTCAGACATCTGTGCTGGTAATCCAAAGGTTATTGTTTTAAACAACAGAAGGGATGATTTATGAACTGTAGAGCATTGGGGTCTGTCAACAATCTACCCGTGAGCAAAATACTTAACCCCAGGTTACTCCTGAGGAACTGTCCTGTATGTAGAAAGGCATTTGCTCAATGACAAAAATTTGATTATTTCAAAACACGTGATTGAGTCAGGCACCGGATAAGCAGCCTATAGAGGTGATATCCAGCTTCTTTTCTTTATCAGTCACAAATCCCCTTGGCATACAAGAAGACTCTTTTATCTGAGCCGCAGCATATTCCTGGCCTGTTTGTTTGTTTTTCGCTTGATAAAGCCTGATAAAGACGTGGGAGATCTCCTTACCCTCCTTTAGCTCAACAGAACTTCAGGAGTTTCACAGGCCCTCATACAGACCCTGAACACTGCGTCATACAGCCACTTCAAGCTGAGGAGACAAAGGTTAGCATAGCATACAGATGGGCTTTCATTTAGAGAGAATGGCTGGGAGATAATTTTGAAGTGAGGCCATGAGAATGCTTATCTCAACACCTCCACACGGAATTTGTGTTTGATTATGGTGCTGACTAGGCGAGAAGCTCAAAGGACAGACTTGTTAATTTGTGAAGTCATAAGTGTAATCGGAGGTGTTCAGCCAAAATGAAATCATAGTTGTAAAATAATCTTATTCATCTGTTTTTGGATCCATGCAAATGTTTTCTTTGAAAGCTCTGGCTTACTCTGCAGTGGTGACAATATAATAATATATATAATATATTAACCTATCCGGTTCCCAGACACACTGCCGCTCGGCCCTCCACCAGCTTGGTAAACTCTTCTGCGATGCCAGGCGGCGGCACTGGACAGCCCTCGGTGGACGGTCCGACACTCCTCCGCCGCCCAGTGGACGGCGACGGCTCCTCCGCCGCCCAGTG